GGTAGGTAAGTTGAAAGGCAGGTAGGTAAGAAAAGAAGCTGTAAGGATGAAAGGGAGGTAGAGGAGGAGGTACGCGGGAAGGTACGTAGATTAAGAGGATGGTACTTAAGAATGAAAGGAAGCAGTTAGGTAGAAGGGAAGAGAGCTAATCACATTATGAGGTAGATAGGTAGGAAGGTAAGTAAAGAAGTAAGAATGAGGTTAGGTAGGTAAGTATGGAAGAAAGTAGCGAGGGAGAGTGGTGGGTTAGTTGGTAGGGAAGATGGAATGTATGTAGGAAGACAAGCAAGAAGGTATGTAGTAGGTTTGCGTAATTTTCTGCTACTTTTGCCCTGTGACATATTTCCATGTTGATGGCAAGTGATTTCTCATGATATTCTTTAGCCTTTTGATATTCACAAAGTGATTGCAACACAGCTCCAGTAACTCACTGCTACTCGTTCCCTGTCACCAGTTTCCATGGTGATGGCAAGTGCTTTCTCGTGATATTCTTTAGCCTTGTGATATTCACAAAGGGATTCAAACATAAGCTCCTAGGTTTGCGTAATTTTCTACTACTCCTTCCCTGTCACCAATTCCATGGTGATGGCAAGTGCTTTCTCGTGATATTCTTTAGCCTTGTGGTATTCACAAAGGGATTCAAACACAACTCCTAGGTTTCCGTAATTTGCGGCTACTCCTGCCTTGTGACCAATTTCCAATGTCGATGGTAAGTGCTTTCTTTTGATATTCTCTAGCCTTTTGATATTCACAAAGTTATAACGACACAGCTCCTAGGTTTCCGTAATTTACCACTACTCTTGCCCTGTTACCAATTTCCATGTTGGTGGCAAGTGCTTTCTCGTGATATTCTTTAGCCTTATGATATTCAGAAAGTGAACACAACACAACTCTTAGGTTTCTGTAATTTAGTGCTACTCCTACTCTTGCCCTGTGACCAATTTCTATATTGATGGCAAGTGCTTTCTCGCAATATTCTTTAGCCTTTTGATATTCACAAAGTGAATGAAACACAGTTCCTAGCTGACTGTAACCTCGGGCTTCCCCATTCTTGTCTCCGATTTCGTTCTTGATTTTGATCGCCTTTTCATAAAGTTCTTCTGCCTTCAGAAACCTTCTTTGCCGACGATATATCTCTGCCAGATTTAACGTAACGATTGCTTCTTCTTTTTTGTCACCAAAGTCGAGGATCATGGAAAGAAGTTTTATTCCGCATCTTTCTGCGTTTTTGTCATTAGAGATGTTATTGTGTAAATTAAATATTCCTACATAAATGTCACATTTGCGTACTTTGGTAAAATGACTTTCTATACCCAGTGCTGAGTTGTTTAGTAAAACTAAATATTCTTTGCATAGCTCGATTGCTTGTGGGTTACGTTCAGTATTTCGAAGGAAGTCGGCAACAACAGTACCTGTACGGATTTTGTCTTTTTCTTTTTCCATGTTGCTTATTGTGGCTTCGTCCTGTATGTTTCAGAGGATGGCTCCTTAAAATAAAAGGCGAGGAAATAATGAAATACATGAATGTGACTGGATCTTACTTTAGTTGGCTATAGTTTCGAGAAACAATAAAACTTAATGAATATTAGCGGTCTTAGCGGGGCTTGAGTGGCAAGACAGTAGTGAGCGGATTCCGTGTTGCTCATAACAACCATAAATCCTTGCGAACCCGCGTGCGTACATTCCGATGGCTTGACGAATTCCTGATTTTCTTTTCCCTCTCAACTACTAGACGATCTCGAGGGGTACAGCGTTCTTTTGCTTCTAAATGAGTAAGGTGACCTCTATTTTTTATTACATAATTATCATACATAAAAATTGTCCCCTAAAGGTAAAAAATTTAAAAACAGATCGATCGGAAGGAATAAAGATGCGACTTACAGTGTACACGAATTATGTCCTTGGATACGATGAATCGAGAAATTTTTTGACCTTAATGACACCTGAAAGTGATGCCTTTTTGTTCAAATGCAACATACTGTAAATCCTCTAATAGGCCCCCCCGGAGTGCTTATTTATTTCAGGTACTTTGTGGGGGGGGTGGCTTATTAGAGGGGGGAGGGCTTATTAATTTAGCCCAATGTTCACTACAAGGATACAATAAAATATGATGTATCGTATTTATTTAAAAATTGTTTTCATTTTACATTTTTTTATCTACCAAATTGAAAGAATCAAAATCCTCAGTAAAGTCTAATGAGTTGTATGATCTGTCATAATCATCTTGTAAACGCAGAAACACAACAAAACGGCAAACTAAAGTCAAATGAACAACAATAATGAAATGCTTCATCGTACTAGTAAGGCTCGATTATTTCGAGGGGGAGGGGTTGGGGGCTAAATTGTGGGGGGAGCTTAATAAGTTTCTTCCCTAAAGAAAGGGAGGTGGCTTTTTAGAGGGGGGGCTTTATAGAGGATTTACGGTAACATATTGTCAGTATTTCTTAAAAAAAATCTGTTTTCAGCTTCCAGAAGTACTTTAAACCGAAAGAATAACACACGCAATTAATAGTGTGAGAACCCAAAATATCCCCAGAATTTCCAAAGGTTCTATTCTTGAGTGAGATAGAGAGTTCAGCATTTTCCCGAGATTTTGAAGACTCCTCTCCATACAGCTGATAAAGAAAAGCGCGCGAATCTAAAAATTCACGTGATTCGATAACCTAATCCGATAAAAGAGAGGTACAAATCCCGTGCAAAAATAAGGGAAGAAGGATGGCAGGTAGTTCAATAGGGAGGGGAAGATAGGTATGGAGTTGGGTAAGGAAGGAGTTAGGGATGTAGGAAGGGAGGGAAATGGGTAGGTAGGCAGGTATGTGGTTAGGTAGGTATGGATAGAGTAATGGATATAGGTAGGGAGAAAGGAAAGGGGCTTACTAGGTAGGGCGCTCAGTATCTAGGTAGGAAGGGAAAGAGGTACGTTACGAAAGAGATGAAGTGGAGTTCATAAGGAGGTAGGTGGACAAGGGAAAGGTAGGTGAGGCTGTGAGTTGGTAACTAGGAGCTTAGAACGTAGGTAGATGGGTAGGTGAAAAGGTGAGTAGAGAGGTTAGAAAGTAAGTTAGAGCTAGGTAGGTAAGTTGAAAGGCAGGTAGGTAAGAAAAGAAGCTGTAAGGATGAAAGGGAGGTAGAGGAGGAGGTACGCGGGAAGGTACGTAGATTAAGAGGATGGTACTTAAGAATGAAAGGAAGCAGTTAGGTAGAAGGGAAGAGAGCTAATCACATTATGAGGTAGATAGGTAGGAAGGTAAGTAAAGAAGTAAGAATGAGGTTAGGTAGGTAAGTATGGAAGAAAGTAGCGAGGGAGAGTGGTGGGTTAGTTGGTAGGGAAGATGGAATGTATGTAGGAAGACAAGCAAGAAGGTATGTTGGTTGGAGGTAGGGAGGGAGGGAGGAGAGCTCGTATTGCGGAGGGGAAGGGAGGGAGGTAGGTAGGTTTCATACGCTGGCGTAGAAGACGTTAAAGAGGGAGGAAGATAGCAGGTAATTAGGTAATGAGGAAGGTTGGGTACGGAGGTTAATTAGTGCCAAGGAGGTTAGGGGGTAGGGAGAAAGGTTTGAAAATTGTAAGGGGAGGGAGGTAGTGAGTTGAAAGGCTGGAATCGAAGAGGTCACGGAGTGAGGGAGGATGTCAGAAAGGAAGTAAATGATGTAGGTTAGGTAACGAAGATAAGAATTGGTATGGAGGTAGACAAAGAGGGAGTTAGAAGGTTAGGAAGTGGGGTAGGTAAGTATGTACGTGGGTAATAGGTAGATTGGGATGGAGGAATGGATCAGGCAAGCAGGGAGGGAATTCGATAAGTAAGTTGTCAAGGGGGAAGGTAAGGAGGTAGGTTAGTGATAAAAGAGGAAATTGGCAGTTAGGTGGTGATGGAGAAAAGAGGTATATAGGTGTGGAGGAAGGTAGGGAGATAGGGAGGTAGATAGGGATAGAGGTTTGGCGGGAGATAAATAGGAGGAGAGGAATAAGAAAGATGGAAATGGGGGTAGGTGGGTAGGGCGGTGGGTGGGTAGGGCGGTGGGTGGGTAGGGCGGTTGATTGGTATTTTGGTAGATAAGTAGACAGGTAAGAAGGTAGGTAAGGAGCTAAGAAAGTAATAAGATGGAAGGTAAGTACGAGGGAGGTGGGTAGATAGTAACGGAGGTTAGTAAGAAGAGAGGTTGGTAGGGGAGAGGTAGAGGAAAAGGTAAGGAAGGTAGATAGGTAGGCAGGGTGGTATATGTGAAGGAAGGAGTAGTACTTTGTGAATGGGGAGGTAGATAGGTGAGGAGGTAATGCAGGTAGGTAGGTGTTGAGGTGCCTTGGTAGCTAGGTAGATGGGAGGGCAGGGGGCAGGCGGGTATCTTAAAAAGAAAGTAGCTGAGTAGGTTAAGAGGTAGGTACGTAGTGAGGTGGGGAGGGAAGAAAGAAGACAGGTAGGTAGGTGTGGTTAGGGAGGTAGGTAGGTAAGGAAGAAGAGAGGTTGGTAGGTTAAGAGGGAGCTTGGTAGTGGGAAAAGGAGGGTACAAGGTGAGGAGGGAGGGAGCTGGGGAAACTGGTGAGTTCGGGGGAAGTTTGGAGGATGGTCGATGGCAAAGGAAGTAGCTGGGTAGGACTGTAGGTAAGCGTGGTAGATAGGTAGGGAGGTCGGTTCTTAGGGCAGTATAAAGGAAGGTAGGTAGGGAGTTAGGTACGAAGGTAGGATTGTAGATAGGTGAAAGGGAATGGAGATACAACGATGTAGGGTGGGGAAAGGAGGGAAACAGGATTAGGGAGGGAAACAGGTACATGTTGGCAGATAGGGAGATTATCAAGTTGGCTATCTTTTGATTATCCATAAAATAAATAAATCAGTGATATCAAACCCTTGAACAAACCACTCAGCTGCAAAAAATCGAGAGACTTTGATTAAAAAAAGAAAGTAACGCAATCTTTCAAATCCTCGTCAATCGTTTGTTTTTCTTGGCTTATTCGAACACATTTAATTTTTGAGAGAGTTCTAGGGTAAAATCGTGTTTAATGGAAGACTTGAAGGAGGACAACTCAATCATTTATAGCGGCAGGTCAAATGTTCTCCGCCGAAGACGTTGAAGACGGGGAGCAATCTGATGCTACTGTTGAAGATCATGATACAACATACGCAAGCGTTTGTCACGCAAGGCTGAAATTATTTTAATCACCAAAAAAATCTATTTTTTGTGTGAAAACGGACGCTAAGCTGGAGATTGAGAGAAGCAATTTATTTTCAGTCTAGTATTATTAATCATTACAGCAATTTTACTTTCATGTTCAGATACACCGAGAAGTCGCACAGTCGCATTTTTTTATATAGCTGGTCGATTAACCAGATATTTTTTTGCGTGGTTCTTTAAACATTAATGGGAAGACTTTGTCGTTGTTTACATAGCCTCATCTAAACACGAAAGGGGTTGGGAGAATTCGAGAAGTTAAGCAAACCCGAGACCAGTGACGACGCACGTATTTCCTAAATACTTTATTACATTCTTAAATTTCTTAGAACTGTCCAATTAAACCTTAATCTGGGACAGTTTCGCACGACTTTCAGTTCAAAATACACAAGATGTACTATATAAGAAAAAGAGGGCAGTATGCCTCAGACGGAAAAGCGAATTAACTCCACTTTTATTTAATACAAAACTACCATTCACATTACCATAACAAGGTTGTGACCTGGGAATTTCGCAAATTTAAAAATGCAGTGAAGCGATTCCATTTTACTAAAATGCAGAGTGATTACTGACCAAAAATGATTCCACGAGGTGCATTTACTGCTATCATTTCTAGAGCTTTATTCAAAGTCAATTATAAGTTCATTATAATTTAAGAAACGGAGCACAAACGTATGCGATAGTACAGTTTGAATATTTTTCGCGCTCGGGTAGCTCTTGATGTCAGTTCTGTAAGGCAGCCTTAACTCTCTTAATTCAACGATTTTATTTGCAATTGTTCCCTTGATCACCAATGCATTTCTTTCGAATTGGTTAAATTTGAGTATGTTTTGAAAAGTTTTAAAGTCCCGATTGTCTGTTTCTCAGGTTAATGAAAACCATGTCCAAGAGTACGGGTCACTTACTCTACAATTCTGGCATGGTTCTGATCAGCATTATCGTTGCCATAACAACCACAACATAGCGCCTTTTTGAAGGCCTCTTTAAACTGCGGATTCATAACCCCATAGATGATTGGATTTACCAGACTACTGGAGTACATCAAATACGCAGTTACCTTAGTCACATCAGGTGGAATATACCCCCTAGCAGCAGTTCTAGAAACGACTATAAATGTAGTACCCCATGTCATTATGAAGAAGCAAACAACTGTGAAACAAGTCTTTAAAAGTTTGATATCAGTACGATCAAACCTTGGTGCACCGACACCATTTTGCGTGGCGTTTGAGTTAATGTTGTTTGTGCTTTCCTTCACTTTTTGGTAAATTTTCCAATAGCAGTAAAATATCGTACATGTTGTCACGTTAAACATTGCTGCTTGCATTATGGCGAAGGTAAAGTTTCCTTCCTTCCAGCTTAAGATACAAAGAAAGGAATCTGAGTGGAATTTTATCTTTCCCCATCCGAACAACATAGGTACGCTGATTGAAACAGAAACTAGCCAGACGACGCCACAGTACAACCAAGCAACTCTTTTACTGGGGAAGAACTTGATATACAAGGCTCGCTTAACGACTATTATGTACCTGTTCAGGGCAATTAAGCTCATATTTAGCATGGAGGCCACACCCATAGTACGTAACACTGTTGCGGAAATATCACACCATCCCTGGCTAAAATTCCACCTTCCAGTGTACAAGCTTGCAGCCCAGAGCGGCATATTAAGGGTCGCCATGAAGATATCGGTCAGTGCAAGATTGTGAATGAGAATAGTGGTGATGGTTTTCATCTCGGAGTATTTATTAATTACATAAATAACCAGCACGTTACCGAGTATGGAAGCGAGGCAAACCAGAATGGCGAAGGCTACATCGAAGGAAATTTGTGTTCTCGAGCGACCAAAAGGATCCGGGGAAGTTGTTTGAGACATCTTCGACTGTAATTTAAGCAGCAACAAACAGGAGAGAATATTGTATGTGGTTAATCTGATAGAAGATTGAACAAAATTTAGTATGCAATGATCTGAATGGATAGATGGATGCCTTTATTTAAAAATAAAAATAAACCTCAGGGTAGCCCCGTCAGAAGCCCTAAAGAGCCACCTGCTATCAATAGGAGCCCCGAGTGTAAACTAAATAAAATACATTACAATTTCATGTGAAATACAAACACGAAGATATAAAACACATTTATAAGGCTTTAGATTTCTGAATTTAAAATTATGTATGTAAAAATTACTCTACTTTGATGAATTATAAATTATGGATCCATAGTAATAAAACGATCGTTTTGCAATTTCTCTCCGTACCGAAGGTAGATGGATTAAATTTTTTTGGCGAGTATCACGGCTATATAAATGCTTATCGAAAGTAAAATAGTTCTTAAAAAACTGAGGACATTGCCCATATATACATTTGTTCACTAAATTCAAAGTGTGCTTGGATTGCCTATAAGCTAAAGTTGTCAAACGATGAAGATGATAAAGTTGAAATCTCCCCTCCAAACATCTTCCTTACATAAAATAAAAATCTGATATTTCTCGTAGAAACTTTTGGTCATTTCTTACTACTTTTTAAATCTCTGAACATTTTATTTTAGGGCCTGATAACGAAGACCAAGGGCTTTCAACACACAGCCATCGGCCTTACTACTGTCAGATCAAAGGAAAATAAATAAAACTCAACTGTAATATGTTGTTGTTTTTGTTGAATTGAGAGAAATTTTTAGTCAAGATTTCCATTCCCTTTTCTCAGTTTCCAAGACCTCGTCGTTTATGTAGTGATGACTGACTATTTCAACAAATCAGAGTCAATGTGCCAGTTTTTTGAAAAATGTGGTTACCCTGTTTCTTTCGTTCAAGCGGGTCACCACCGCGCCCAACTTATTGATCGACAGTCTGCTCTACAAACGTCACAGAAGGAAAATTCCGACCGCATTTTATTCACTCTCACATTTTACCCTCACAACCACTCAGTTAAATCCATTATTCTTAAAAACTTTAAATTACTTCAAAATAGTCCAGAGACTAGCACTTTCTTTTCCCAAACCCACCTAGGCATTCAAATGTGACAAAAACAGCCAATTTTTTGATCAGAAGTTCATTCATCATGGCAATAACTTAAGTGTCCCTGTCTGAGAAAGTGTTCTAGGAGCCAAAAGTGGTAGTCAACCGATTTGGCTGAAACTTGGCACAAACTCTGAGTGTGATAAGATATTTCAAAAGCCACATTGGCTATTTGAAATATCTTATCTCTGACTGTTTGTTCTAAAGTTTCAGGGGGGTCCCATTTGTGGCCTAGAGAGCACCAAGAATTTATCCTTCTAGAATGCCATCTTAAAAGCACTATAAAACTCCATTAGTTAAGGTTTTGGCACAAACTCTCCATGCCCCTCTAAGGCCAAGCAAAATGAAATTTCGAGCATAATTCACGCTATAAACAGACCAAAGTCTTGACAGAAAGCCTATATTTTGTATTTTTTGAGTGAAAATGAAACTATTAAAGCCAAATCAATGTCATTATTTAGAAATACCTCGACTCATAGCTTATAATTACTCTAAGAAGGCCTCTGACTAGCATTGCAAACACCCAGCGGTTTAGCAAAATAAAGGTAATTTTTTTCCTCTGAAAACCTTGTACCCATCATTGAACCTAAATGATGATGTTCTGACCTAGATATGTCAATATTTTTTAAAGATGATTGAATATTCTCTGATCTATGTTTGTTAGGCCATATTTCCATACATATTATACTCCAAGCATGCAAAGTCTCCATATTTTGTCACGCCGTTTTTTAATTAAAAGTAAAGTGACCTTAACCCGGCCGGCCTAACCATTAAGCTCAAAATAAAACGATCGTTAAACGCCTGACCTTTACGCCTGACCTTTGAATAGACTGTGAATAGCTCTTGCATATACCCATCACTTATAGCAAGCATGACCATAAGCTTACGTATATACGTGCCGCAGTGAGCACCTTCCAGGTGACTTGTGATCCATCAGAGATCTTAGGTACTTTAGATCTGAATAAATGGAACCATCCATCAAAGGGGAATCCATAGTCAGAAGAGCTGGATGACAAAAAATTATTGTTGCTGTTTAAATATAGCAAATAGCCTTTTTAGTGCCACTCTCGCTAAGAGCAATCCTCTCAACTTCCCGTCCAAAAAAAATTTTCCCTAAATTTTTCCTATGAAAAGGGTTTAGGAAACATGTTTCAAAACAGTTTTAAGGTTTTCCAATATTTTTTTGTATGAAGATTTCAACTTTCGCGAACTCTCTGCCAAGGGAAGATTAGCTAAGGTGTTGCAAAAGCAAAAATTCAGTCAACTACAGTCATTGTGCGAGTTTTTTGACGTTGAAATTATAGGTAGTGGTAATGGTAATTCATCGTATTATGAACCTCTTCTACAGTTAGCAAAATCCTGACCACCGCAAGTGATGGTCAACAAACCCGCGTTACTCAAAACTCAGTGAAGGTTGCGTGACTCCTCGACTTGGTCCAGTCCTCTTACTCTCACGTCCAATATGCTGGGTCAGTCGACAATAACAATCGCATCTCGAGGTGTTGCATGGTATGTTCATATGAACTGCAACACAAAATATTTGTTATTCAGCTCTCCTATCTGTGGATTTCTTATTTACTGTTGGATGATTTGATTTATTCAGCTTTAACATACTAGGGAAATCAGATGGATCACAAGTCACCTGGACGCTAGTCACTACAACCTGTAGATATCATCCTGCTCTTTTACTGATGCCATCGTGCGTACAAGAGCTTGCAAGGCTATATCAAAAGTTTAACCATAGATCTGTTAACGGTCGTTTTCGTTAAGTTCACTTCATATTGCATCTGAAAAATGGGCCTGAAATAATATAGAGACTTTGCATGCTTGTGAGTATACTATGTATGGAGATTTGACCTGAAAAATACAAATCAGAGGAAATTTTAGCATCTTTAAAAATTATCGTCATATCTAGGTCAGAACATAATCATTTGGGCTCTATGATGGATACTAGGTTTTCACTGAAGAAAAAAAATTACCTTTATTTTGTTAAACCGCTATGTGTTTGTAGTGCCAATCAGAGGCTGTATTAGAGTAATAATAAGCTATGAGTCGAGGTATTTCTAAATCATGACATTGATTTGGCTTAAATGTTTCATTTTCACTCAAGAAATACTAAATAAAGGCTCTATTTCAAGACCTTGGTCTGTTTATAGCATGAATTATGCTCAAAACTCCATTTTGCTCGAATTGCCCTTATAGGGGCATGGAGAGTTTGTGCCAAAAACTTAACAAACCGTAATAAGCCAAATTTTTCTCAACTGATTTTGATAAATGGGTCACTAAGGTACATACTGGATTTGGTATGAAGGTTATACAAGCAGGCAAGTGAATATTATGGTTTTTCGAAAAATGGCAATTTTGGGTAGTGATTTTGACCTCAAATTTGACATAACTTTAGCCCCAGGCCCCTCTCTGTCTAATCACCTGAAAACAAAGTTACATGTACGAAGTAAGAGCTCCACAATATCAGAGTCCATGGTCAAATTCATTTGGTAGCATAATTTACCAATGGAGTTTTATAGCACTTTCAAAATGCCACCTAGAAGGATGAATTTTTGGTGCTCTATAGGCCACAAATGGGACTCCCCTGAAACTCCAGAGCAAACTGTCACAGAAGTGAGCCAAAGTGGCTTTTGAAATATCTTATCACACTCAACTTTTGTGCCAAGTTTCAGCCACATCGGTTGACTACCACTTTTGGCTCCTGGAACACTTTGTCAGACAGGGACACTTAAGATCTTGTAAGACGAACCCAGCGCACATCAGAATACCTGCATCGCACACTATTAATCACAAACAATCGTTAACTCCTAGTTACATCAAATTAAGCTTAGCTTAATTTGATGTAACTTAATTGTGTATATATTTTTTGTGTTTTGAATTTTTTAAATTTGAATTTTTGAATTTTGAAATATTTACTGTAATATTACCGTAATTCTTATCACCGAAGGCAATAAATAAATGTATTATTATTATTATTATTATTATATTATTACTATTATTATCATTCCAAACTAATGATCAACCCGGCACTTTTAAATGCACTCGCGCACGATGCAAAACTTGACCTTTCATTCACAACGCTGAGAAAACAAACGATCCGTTAAGATTACTGATCACTTCACGTGCACTACTTTCCCAATGTCATCTATTGCATAACTTGCATGCGCTTATTGCAAAAAGATATAGATCGGCGAAACAGGGAGACGATTAGGTGACCGATTTCGAGAACACCTTCGCGACATAGAAAGGAATAACAAGGATGCATGAAAACCAGTCGCGAGACAATTTAATCTACCTAATCATTCTAAGCAGCATACGGTACTCTGCGTTTTTTTTTCCTTACATTTAGGTAGCTCGGAAAGCCGCAAACTATTGAAAAAAAGGTTATCTTTTAAATCGGCACTCTTAATTCCATAGGTGCAAAGGACGCTTTTCATCAATACTAATTTATTCTTGTTTTTCTCGTCACCACGTCCACTTTCTGCGTATAAACGCAGACAAAATCCACAGTTTCTCCATTCGCTCTGACGAAGGGCTAACGCTCGAAACGTCGGATTTTCAACTCTTTATGGTGGCCAGTTTATAATTTCAACTTAGTTCATATAACCAAATTTCAGCAGAGTTAGCAACCCATAGCCCTAGTATTATAATTCATCCATATTTAAGCATAATTTTATGTAAGAAACTCATCTAAATTAAGTTTCTAAGAGTCGGCCCATTTTCTACAAAATACTCGAGATATATCTCTATCTCAAATTAGCACTTAATTAAGATCTTTTTCAACTTGCCTTGTCTCTATGTCCACCGCAATCATGAAGCAATTGCAGCGATAGAGAAGGATTGCTAATATATCGTGCAACAGTCGTGTATATGCGATCATGTTGGTATCTGAACACAAGGACGCAAGAGTATGGTCAAGAGAGCCATTATGGTTGAATTATTAAATTGTTTCATTCACGAGGCGTTCATCATTTCCTAGTCTGAACGATGGATGCAGAAATTGCAAGAAAAGAAAATAGATAAGAAGTTCCTATTAACCTCGATGAAAGGTCAGACTCAGACTCTGAGTTCTCGCCTTTCCGCTCCATTCGTTGCAAATATTATTCACCGCATAGTTTCTACCAACTAAAAGATAAATTTGGCCGTCAATCTAATTCTAGACAGTTTTCTTTTATACATAGCAATATACGAAGTATATATAAGCACAATCTTGAAAAATTTCAAACTCATTTATTAAGCAAACTCAAGTATCGCTTTAGTGTTATTGGCGTTACAGAAACGAGAGTTAGAAATGCTAATTTTGCTTTTAAACCCTCATTACCCGGGTACAATCAGGGAATTTGTGCCAACACCTCTTTCAGCGGGAGGTGTTGTCATGTATGAAGGTTCAGATCTGTCAGACACTGTAATTCAAAAGTATTCTAATGAAGCGTTTCAAGCCCTTTGGATCGAAATTTTTTCCCAAACAAAGCCAACATAATTTGTGGTGTTATCTACAGACAACACA